TACAATAATATGTCTGATTATTCAGTCGTTGATAAATCTTAAATCAAAGGTAACCTGGTAAACACTAAAGAAGATAATTAGGATTCATTATCTTTTACAAAAAAATATTATTAAAAAGTGATATTTTTACAAAAATAAAAAAATATCTTCAACACAGTGTCGTGTTAATATCGATTTGGAGGCTAATTCAATTATTGTATTGGAGGTCACTAAGAACATTTCATTAATTAATTTGGTGAAATTGTATGCTCTTCTTGTTATTACTGATATTCAACTAATAAAGTAGTTTAATCCAAAATTACATTTAAAGTTATTACGTAAAAAAAAAAACAAAAAATAAAGTGTGGCGTAGAGAAAAAATTACCTTTCAAATGGTGGTTATTGCGGGACAGTAGGGGGTTACATCTGAGGGCATGATTTTTGTTTAAAAATTCGTTCCTCTCCCAACACAAATTGACGTGTTTTTCTTAATTTTTAAAAAAACTCTTGGTCTCTGAGTTTTTGCGGAGGGAGGCGTCAAACTTTCGTTGGAACACACTGTATATAGCTGTATAAAAAGAAAGGTTATTATTGAAATAACACACATTTCAAAAATACACTTCATCAATAAATATAAATAACTTCATAAATACAACATCTCTTCTACTGTTACAAATAATAACATCTATTTAATTTTCTAAAACTTTCTTTTTTTAAATGAGCATTATATACACGTCTTTCTAACAACAACCGTTGCAGTGTTAAATGTAAATACTGTTTACTTTTTACTTTTTATTAAAAATTTTTTCCACTATGAAAAAACATTAGTAATATTGGCACTTTTGATAAAATTTTTTTAACTCTTTCTACAACTTTGTTTGAAATTAACTCCCTTGTGCAACCAATTCATTATTTTTTTTCTGTTTCTCCACCCATTCCATTTACTTCACACCTCTTGTAGTTCCTGTCAAGTTTCTAGATTTTGTTGGAATACTTGTTTCGTAATTTTTCTTTACGAAAAGGTTTTCGTATTTCAGCATTCTGATTTCTTTTATTTCTTTTGTTCTTTTACTATTTTTTCATATACTCTTTTATAACTTCCATTTTCCTTGTCGTAAGCTCCATCAGTTAAAGCGATTGATTTATTTTGTTTTTTTGGGATAGTTTATCTAGTAAAAAAAATTCTTAAAATCCTTTGTAAAAGGTATATATTTAAATAAAAGGTATACATTCATGTATACCTAGACACTGATGATAGAATATGGATTCCGAAAACGTTTTGTCTAACATAGCCCGATTGGGGTTTTAAATATATACCTTTTACAAAGGATTTTATTATTTTTTTTAATATATGGTATACAGCCAACTACAGGAACGTAGATTCCTTGTGAAGTTTTTCTAGTCTACTTGCTGTCTTTATAATTTTTCGAAGTGGTTGGGTATTAAGATTTATGCTTCTTATTTTGTTGCCTCTCTTGTGACGAATTACTCTCAATTTTATATATGTTTGCTTTTTAATTTTTTATTTAATCGTTTCTTTTTTGGTTTTTAACTGTTATCTACATCTACTGAATGCCTACTTCAGCACTGACGAAAGGAAAAGCTTCCAGAACCCATTGAAAAGCTGAGTTTTCATTAGCGCTATTATATTATATAAGAGAGTGTCTAGAAACTCTCCTGACAAAAGAAGACCGGAGACTCGTCAGATAATTTTAAGGGAATATGGCACCTTGTAATTCGTTTTTTTTTAAATACCTCCAGAACGCTTTTATTTAGAAAAAGGAAAACTGGTGCGATTATTAGATACAGAGTTGAATGGATTTTATTAATTCCGAGTTTCTAGTACCGATCATAGGCGTCCCTTTTGGGTAGGTTAACTTTTTTGTTTTTATCTTTTAAGCATTGGTGATACTAGAATATCAAATTTTCAGGTATTCTAGTACTAAAGGATACTCTTACTCTAAGTCGATAGGATACACCATTTTCTAGAAAAATAGATTTGAAAATGTTTAGTTTTTTCGTAATGAAAGTTAAAATAATAATTTTGCACTAGTTGGCCGTGGACCTGCTAGTAGAAGTATAACCTACGCTTTTCATTGTCACATTGTGGTCCGTTCACGAAGTTTATCTTTTAGTATCTTACTTTGTGGCATTCAAATATAACAATTTTAATTCAACAACAATAGTTTTTACTAGTGAGGAATATGCTGACACACACATACAACACACACACACACACACACACACACACACACTCAGGGTATAACAACGTAGATACCCTGAAAATTTCTCAATCGTGACTCCACTCACTTAACAATTTACAGCTCTTCATCAACAATTAAGAGAAACAGGTTTAGTGCTCAAAAAAAAAAAATAATAATAATAATAAGCGACAAGTTTATGTAACAGCAGCATACGAAGAAGTTATTTTAATGAAAGTTGAGGAAAATTCGGAAATTAGCGGTCGAAGACTATCTGCCATGTATCACACAGTTTTAAAATCTTCCGTAGGAAAGATCTTACACAACGAAAATTTATATCATTTTCACTTTACAAAGGTATAAGCACTGCTACAAGAAAAATTTTTCTGATCGTTAAGAATTCGCGACATGGTAACAAAATCAGTAAAATCAAAATGAAAATTTTTTTAGATATATTTTGTTTTGCGACAAAGGTAGATTCACAAAAAGTAAAATTTTTAATTTGCACATTGCACAATATTATTCGTACGTTGGTAACAATCCCTATGTTGTTGAATAATTTAAGCATTAGCATAGGTTTTTCGCATAAACGTCTGGATAGGGTTAGTTAACGATTATCTACTTGGGCCTGTGGAATTGCCTGCTCGTTTAAATTTTTTACATTTCCTGCAAAATGATTTACCTGATTACAAACCACGTGGTGTTCGTGTGTATTAAGGCATAAAAAAAGCGCTATACCTTAATACACACGAACACCACGTGCTTTGTATTCAACAGGTATACTAGCCACTCCTGGATTACCTGATTCGTTAGATGATGTGCCTTTAAATATTCGGCAAAACTTTCCACATGGTGGCTGTCCTGTCCATTTTATTAGGAATGTACGAGACTTTCTTAATAATAGAGAGTTTTTAGGCTCTTTACTTCTTGATGAACGTTAGACGTAAAACGTTATACTTGTCATGCGCCTTGAATAATAAATAAGAGATAACGTTTTTACTTAAAATAGTTTTTGAATCCTTTCGGAAATTAAGCTATGACAGATTAACGTTAATTGACATTTGACGAACGTAACCTATAAAACGGCAGTTATAGTATACTCTATGACCTATTTTATTTGAATTATTTGCTATAATGGAAAAAAAATATTAAAGACACGGGGAAGTAAAAGATCACAATTTGATAAAAGGCTTAATTCTTTACAATATTTTTGATCCTCTAATAAATGTTGTACAAAGACCACATTTTGTGTTGGAAACAATTTAAGAGAAATATGCTAAACTAAATTTTAGATTTAAGAAAAAGGAATTTTGATTAGAATTTTAAACATCATTACTATACTTTTTTATCTAGTTATCTTTGGTTCTGCTCATATGACGTTTTTTTTTGTTTTTTATGGTTTAAATATCTGGCATTTGACAACATTACAAACACGTAATTCCTTAATAAAGTTAACCTTATCTTTACCTAAATAAGAGAATACCTTATCCGCTAATAGAGACTTTTTAGGCCCTTCACTTTTCGATGGACGTTAAACGTAAAACGTTATACTTGTCATGCGCCATGAATAATAAATAAGGGATAACGTTTTTACTTAAAATAATTTTTGAATCCTTTTAGAAATTAAGCTATGACAGAAGACGTTAATTGACATTTTTGACTAACGTAACCTATAAAACGGCAGTTATACCTCGTTCACGTTATACTCTATAACCTATTTTATTTGAATTATTTGCTATAATGGAAGAACATTTTGAAAATATATTAAGACGACGAAGACACAGAGATATAATAGATCACAATTTGATAAGTGGCTTAATTCTTTACAATATTTTTGATCCTGTAATACCTGGTGCACCAAGACATTTTGTGTTGGAAACAATTGAAGAGCTAAAGATGCTGAACTAAATTTTCTATATTTTTTATTCTTTACTTTTTATTATATAACTTTTTGTTTATTATATATTAAATAACTGGAATTTTTGCAAGAATTCGACGTTCTCTATCAAATGGGCAAATTTATGCATAGAAACTAATGGCCATGAAAATAGAGCATCTTTTGTAACGATCTACTTTTGATACATGTTGTTTTGTGTTAGTTTCATTCCATCATAATAAATACTTTATTTTTAAAACCCTTTAAATAAAATTTTGTTTCAATTTTATTTTTTGCTTTTTTCCCAAACTTTTTTTACTAAATGTGTACTGCTTTTATTGAAAATATACTAGAATACCTAAAGATTTAATAATCTAGTTTCACAAATGCTTAAAAGTTATGCGTTAAAATAACCATTGACCTTCCCAAAACGGACTTCCATGACCGATACTCGAAATTCGCAATTAATGAAATCGATTCAACTCTAGATGAAAAATAATCGTAGCAGTTTTTATTTTTCTAACCAGAAGCGTTCTGGAGGTATTAAACAAAAAATTAATTACAAGGCGTCATCTTCAAAGAGCTCTTGCTCCCTTTGTCGACGCTCCTAACGAGGCACTGACCCTCGTTCCGACCATAGGACAGTACTATAATCGATCGATAGGTAATAAATGCATTAAATGCGAGCGTTTACTGTCAATGCTATGCTCTAGGCGAGGATACGATGCGATGGTCTCTGTTGTGTACGTACCCTTAGGAACCATTTTCGGACTAGGTAATTTGGGTTGAATTGTCTTAAAATTAAATTAAATTGGATTATTTATTATCATTAGATTCTTGGATTTTTATAAATCCAGCAGGGACGTTTAAGAAAACTGATAAATGAAAATATACTATGCTGAAAAATTGATAAATACTTATTCTGTACTGTTCGACAAACTTACCCTTTAACATATATATCAGACATTTTTTCTCCAGTAAAAAAGGCATCGTCTTCTAGAACAACATCGTCTGTGTTCCAAATGATTACACGCAATTCATAACTTTTGGGTTTTCTTGGTGAAATATCTATTGGCGGTCCAGGAAGGGGCATATCCATGGGAAACATATCTACCCACATTTCTAATTTTCCTTGTTCTATTCCAGGTTTGTCTGGGTTATATAATGGTCTCGTTTCCACATGTTCGGGTACCAAAGGGCATCCAATTTTTGGAAACTCGTACCACCTATAATAAAGTTAACGAGTATTTATGGAAAAATAAAATAGATTGTTGATTGTAATTATATAAATGGTCAAAGACAATAATAATGAAGTATCTACACAAATAACTACATAAAAGCAGTTTAGCAATTAAATCAAATACTTTTGCATTCAGGTAACGAAAGTCTTTATGCTATAATGGCGGAAGTATATATAATTATTACTCAAATAAATGATCTGTAACCAATAAATTGTTAATAATAACCTTTTAAAAACTAGGGTGTACATAGTACGAAAGTAAAGGTATCAATAGTATATAATGGTTCAGTCAACTCTACTTATTAGGAGTTCACTTTTTAATCTAAAAAAAAGAGGATAATACATAGTATAAGATACATAATATTGTCATATGAATCACTTCTTTCTACTTCACACATCATGTGCGAAATGACTGTCCAATAGAGGTCAATACAGCTTGGAACATTGGCTTGCTAGCGTCCAGCCTCAATCATATAAACAACACTGATCATTCTGTGGAAACACGTGCAAAATGCCAACCATCTATGACCACTTTTGTGTTTAACAATTTTGATTTAGTACAATGTTAAAGTATATTAAAGCCTTTTTTTACTAAACAATGTTATTTTTAAGATTTTGTTAAAAAAAAAAGAAAAAGTAGTCATGTTCCATTTTTGTTGACAGAAATGAAATGCGAATATAAGAACAAAACGAATTGTAATGAAAGTTCGTTCTAAAATATTCGAGAAATTTATTTACCTATGCAAAATGGCCAACGCCATGTGTTCCTCAGCATCTTTCGTTTTATAAAAATCGATGTCATCATTTTGTATAAAAAATAATTGCTTTCCAACCTTAACTAAGCCATCAGCATATATGGGAGCATCAACTTTTGCATCTTTACACAGCTTGGCCAAAATTTGAGTGGGTTTCATTGCATCTCTCCAAGCATTGTAACCTTCTCTGAAATAACATAAATATATTTTTGTATAACAGCTATTTAAATTATTAATAATTCATAAGAACTATGCGATACGAGTATTTACCTAATATTTAATTCTAATTCTATAACTTCAAGGAATCGCTCATGTAAATTGGCATTTACCATGTAGTTGGGATATTGTTTTTTATAGCTCTGACTAAAAACTGGTTTGTACAACTAAGGCGTATTGGAAAATAACAGAATATCAGGGAAACGTTTACACATTACATATTCAAATCTATAGATGGTCTATAATCACCATATTGATGATGTGATCATCTATAGATGAACTATTTATATTAATGAAGCAAAAACTTATTTATCGAATGAAGATAAAAGAAATCTTGAGAAATGAACGGTTTTCGGACAAAAATCATATGCATCTCAATGGTTAGGTATATAAATAAACAAACACACTATCTATTTACAATCATGATACTATGATAAGAAGATAAGATATTGCGCATAAGTCGTGACGTCATTGGAGAGTTGCACGTTCGAAATGTCAGTTTTTTGTATGTGTCAATAAATAATCTTTAATAAATAGTTTGGAGATATACTTATGTGTGCAATTATTATAATTATTGAACTTCTTAACTTTTTTTCGTCCAGTAATTTCATCACAGAATGCATACAAATCACATTTAACTTTAACAAGAATTCAAATTCTACTCTCCAATGACGGCATGCGCGAACACGACCGATTTTGGGCTACGGGAAGATCCTATCTTATTATTCATAGTATCATGATTTACAATATGTAGTCAATATAATATGGTGGCAACGTTGGTGTGACTTGCGATAACTTATGTCCGTAATAATTTCTATCTTCGCTACATACCACAGAAAATACTTTAAAATTTTCAATACAGGACATTACCCAATAGGGAAGCAATGAAGCAATAAAAATCCCAAAACCTACTAATTTTTTTTGAGTTGAATGAATCTCAATGAAACTTGTTGCATTCGATTCGTAAGAATGTCGAACAATGATGTAAACAACAACGATGATGGGAAAATAAAAATTGCATTATTAAACAAGGAACATTCATTTTCGAAAGTGCATTTCGAAGCGATGAAAAATGATAAACTTATATTTTGGAAAAAAGTTCAATATTACTACTCGGGGATTTTTGGGGTCACTGACACGAAGATCATGACGGCGATGGTATCCGATGCACCTGGTGGACCTGGGCTTCATCTCCTGGAGTGTTGTGAAAACTAGAAACAAGATCATTGGAGTTGGCTATTTTTTTGAGTAAATATTTTTATTCCTACACAACAATATATTTGTCCAAGAAGAGAATCCGATCTCTATCATATCTATCTAATGAAAATTATATATCTATCATTTTTAATAATAAAGTTCTGGCATTGCAAAATTTATAGACATTTAAGAATTAAGAACCGTTCGAATTTATTTCGAAAAGGAATTCATTTTAAAATGAATTCTATTTTTGCATAAACTATTGAGTAAAATTTCATTTGCCCTTTAATTGCCCTTTATAACCCAGTGCTGATTTCAAAAATTTACTAATTAATGGCCGTTTTTTTATAGCTTGGCTATAATACTTCACATTACTCAATACCTACATACATGCTGTTAAGCTGTGTAAATAAAAGTCAGATTGTAATAAAGGATCAGGATCTTAAGTTAACAACGTAAATTGGAGTTTTATTATATTCAATAAATACTTACTCTTCATATACTTCTGGTAATCCACAACTGGCTCTGTATCTACTGTAAAACCGATTTTCTAAATCAATTTTTGTCTCTCCGACCATATCATCTGAGCCAACCAAATCCCAATCATAGATCTGAACTATCAGTAGAGAATCTTGTGGAAAAGTGGCTTCTATCTCGAAACATCTAAAATATTTCATAAAGAAAAAAATGTATTTATTACAACTTATTGATGCATTGTAAGTATAAGCACCAATGCAGCATTCCTGTCGGTTGTGTAGATGAATAGCAATTAGTATTTCGGATTGTTAAAAATGTTTTTTCAGTAATAATATTTACAAAAAATAAATATCATGCCACAAGTGAAATTGTATTTATCGATTAGTGGCAACTGAACGAAATATATCTGGGCACTAGATGTTGCACTAAATATAATATAAAGTTATATCAGTAGTTATTATCTACTAAAAAATTGTTTTTTTGCATTTTTTCATACATATATTAACATAAAGATACGTCTTGAGAAACACCTGATAAGATCTATAAGACAGACGTATATACAAAAGACTAAATCTTTCCTTAAAATTAAATATAAAAGTTAAAAAACCTTCTAAACATTTATTAAAAAAAAATATTAATAAAAAATAAGCTTTAGAGTAAAAATTAAAAGCTACTCTGTATAATATTTTTTAGCTGAATTTTTTGTTATTGATGGGATGGAACATTTTGAAAACCTTTACAAATATAAAATGTGTTGGTTTTTAGTTCAAAAAAATCATTTAAGATAAAAAGATTACAATTAATAAACAAAGGAGCAAATAAAAAAAAGAAACAAATAAAAAATACCTATAAATACCATTTGAAAGAAAAAATAAGGGAAAAAGACAAACAGGTGTCAAAAATACATGCATCTCTCTAAAACAGAAATTACGAGGATTTAGGAAACTTAATGATAAAGCTAATGTAGATTTACTAAAATATAAACAACAAAATAATAAGAAATAACAATTAAAAATAAATCCATAATAAATAAAAAAAACTGTATTCTGCACCGATTCTGTGAACCGAATTTCAGAAAACCGATGTACCTATAAAGTGAAAAGAACAAAAACAGTAAATATTTTGAGTATTTTCAAATTAACTTACTTTTCAACCTAATACAATGACACTTTTTGTTTTTACGTTTGGTAAAAATATATGGAAGAAAAAAAATATGGGGTTAAACGTTACGAACAATTATGGTTTGGATGGAGAAAAGCTGTGATAGCAACAAATTAAAAAAATGAAAAAGGTTAAAATATTACTAAGAATAAAAAAAGGTAACAAATGGCACTTCTCGATAGCATATATAAAATGTACACAAGACATAAATAATCGGATAAGAAATATCGCAACAGATTATATAAAAGCGCTAAAAATTTAATGGAGACGTACATTAGACTAAGACAAGACATATGATAACGTCAAAAGAAATGCTCTGTGGATCGTTATCGAAAAGAGAGAGAGACATCATATAAATGCAATTAAGCGCTTCTACCTTAACACCAAAATAAAAATAGATTTTAACTAAATCTTTTTAATATACATGTAGACAACATAATGCGGAAATAGAAAACAAAATATGACCACGGAAGTAATTTTAATAAAGAAATTATCTTCATTCATCAGCATTGCATTAACAGCAATCTCTTATGCAGACAACTTGATGTTAGTTGCTGAAGCAAAATAAAACTAAAAAGGAATATTCCTGCTAACAAACGAAATAGAAATCATAGCTTTTACTGCCACCTTTGTAACACAAAGATCCTCGTTAATAATAATCCAATAAAACAAACAAGAAATTTTACGTGCTTAAGAAAGGTGTTATGGAAATATCATTAAAGTAATGATTTTAAACAAATTTAGTAGTATTAATGAAGTTATCAGCCCAAGTCTAAGAAACAAAAGAAAAAAAATCTACACTACACAAATAATTGACATAAACCTGTTCAAAGCATGGATGAAAGAAGACCCCTGTTAAAAGCTTTTAGACATAGATGTCCAGGAAGAAAAAGCGTAAAACGGAAAAAACACTACGATAAGTTGCCAATGCGCCAATGTCTGATATATAAAAAAAAAGAAGTGGAAAGATAGTACTTACTTTCCAAAAACAGGATTTAACTGCTTCGAAATATAGTTTTCCTTATCACTTATTCTCTTAGATCCTAGTTGTAGCACAACATACGGATCTGCTTTGCCATTTAAATCCATCGGATGTAGATCGTTAGCTTTCACTATATACACTCGTACTAATACGCGTATCGGATCGTTTGAAGGCAATCCTTGGAACAATCCAAATTGGGGATCAAATCCCATTATCGTTTTGTCCTCTATATCTTTGGGCAAAGGCCATTTATAGACTTTTATAGCTCCCTAAAATAAGGAATGAGTTGCTATGAATAAATTTCAATATTTCGTTATTTTTGTTACATTTTTACAGTTACAAATGGTGAGTACTTTTTTTTACTGGTAATAATTTCGATCTAATTCTAATTATCTAATTAGCCTTCTTCGGTCCATCTTTGGACATAGGCCACCGTATTATTTGGACATAGCCTAATAATTTCGATAATGACAAAAAAATTAAAAATAATGAATTAATATTGATAGCACAGTTAAATAATGGATATTATAAGTAGTGCAGTCGTCAGAGATTTGATCTCTAAAAACGAGACAAACAAACTAAATTTTGCTGAGAAGGCTTTCTCGAGGTCTGTTGGATCGCATTTTTTGTGTAATTCTTCTTCTTCAGTGCCTTATCCGATCCGGATGTTGACTGCTCAGCGAAACAGAGCAGTATTTTTCTTCGTTCCATATCACGTGCCCAAGGTACTCAAGCTTACGTTGTTTCACTAAATTAAGCACTTCTTCTTTTCTCATGCGCTGTAGAACCTCAACATGGTCCACATACGATATTTTTAGTATCCTTCTGTAGATACACATCTCAAACGCTTCAATCCGCTTTTCTGTGGCTTGCGTCAGTGTCCAGGCTTCATATCCATATAGTTACACTGGAAGAATGTAGCATCTCACTATCCGCATCTGGGTTCTCAAACTGAGATCACTATAGCACAGCAAGGATCTCAACTTGATAAATGTAGACCATGCCATTTCAATTTTAGATCTAATCTCTTGAGCGTAGTCCCATTGTGAGTTGAGGGTTGTTCCGAAGTAAGAGAATCTGTCGACTCTCTGGATCTCTTCGCTACCTGCCACTAGTGCCCCGGAATCTAAATTTGCACGGCTGACAACCATGAATTTAGATTTCTTAATATTAAGGTCTAGTCCGTATGTTACGCTCACAGTTCTCACTCGGTCTAGTAAGGCTTGTAGATCATTTAGGCTGGTTGCTAGTAACATAGTGTTATTGGCGTAGCGGATATTATTGATGTATTCACCGTTCACTCGGATTCCCATCTCTAGGTTTGTGAGGGCTTCGGTAAAAATTTCCTCAGAGTATATATTGAAAAGGGTCGGCGAGATCACACAGCCTTGCCTTACTCCTCGCATGATCTTCACTTGATCGATCAGCTTTTCTTCGACATTTACTTGAACACGCTGGTTCCATTATAAATTCGTGATGATTCAAATGTCCTTCTCATCCAATCCTGCTCTTTGTAGGACCGCGAACATCTTCTGGTGCTGACAACAGTAAAATTACTTGGCATGGTCAATAAAACAAATATAGACATCACAGCTGACATTTCAGCATCTCTGAAGTAGGACTGAAGTAGGATTTATAAGGTGAAAAGTGCTTCACGTGTACCCATGGAATTGCGGAATCCAAATTGCATTTCACCGACATTTTCTTCGCATTTCTTGTAAATTGTGGATTGTATGATTTTAAGAAAAATCTTAAGTGCGTGACTTATAATGCTGATAGTTCGGAAATTTTCACACGTTTTCGCAGATCGTTTTTTTTTGGTAGTGTTACAAATGTTGACAATAGCCATTTGTCTAGGATATTACCTGAATCGTACTTGGCGTTAAACAGTTCAGTTAACTCCCTTGTGCTCACTTTACTCATCACTTAAATGAGTTCACAGTCCGGGCCTGTGGCCTTACCATTCTTAGACTATTTTAAAGCTACTTTCACCTCGCTTTCTGGTATTGACGGCCCTGTCATGCAATTTATTTTTGGAAGGTTACCTCGGTAGTGCCAGAAAAGTTCTTCGATGTATATTTTCCAGGTCATCAACTTTTTCTTAACTGTCGTCGCCATGTTTTGTGCAATAAAGTGCCATTTTCTAGGTGTTTCACTTTGGCGCAGACATAAGTTGAACATTGATTTATATTCTGTAAAAGTCTATCTCCTCCAATCTTTGCGGCTTTTATAACAATATTATCTTCTCCAAGGGCTTTATTAAAATCAGTGCGTTCCTTATTTAGTCCGTTGATTATGTTTTGTTGTAATGGCTAAAGGTTTCAAGCCAAAGCCAATCAAAAAAAAAATGTTTTGTTGTAACTTATATATATATATATATATATATATATATATATATATATATATATATATATATATATATATATATATATATATATATATATATATATATAAGCGAGGTTCCTACAGCCGCCGCCTCTCGCATTTCGACCGCCATCGTTCTTTGTCCATCCATTCGTCTTCTTTGATGGCTCTATCTCTCATTAGGTGTCGTACATTTTCTTCACAGGTAACTGATGGTCTTCCCTTTCTTCTTCTTTGTTGTGGTATGTAATTTAAAGCTTTCTTTGGCCATCTATCTTCATTCATTCGCTTCACATGACCATACCACACTAGTTGTCTCGTTTCAATTCTGTCTACACTGGAATATACAGTATTTGTCCTCCTTCTAATATCTTCATTCCTAATATGATCTTTTTTGGATACACCACACGCTTTTCTTAGAAAATCCATTTCTATTACTTCTATTCTTTTTCTATCTTTTTTCGTGATCTGTCAAACTTCTGCCCCATAAGCCATAATAGGCTCTACCAAGGTTCGATAGATTGTCAATTTTGTTTCTTGTCTAATATCTTTAGACCATAGTAGAGAGTTCAGAATGTTAACTGCTTGAAGTTAACCGTAGTTCATTGTTAACCGTAGATTCCTTGCCTTCCGTTCGATTACCTGCTTCAGAACGAATATACCATCAGTGCACGATTTTACTGCACGAAATCCATTTTGTTCTTCTATGTCTTTGTATTCTGATTCTATTCTTTTTTTATTATTCGACCGTACAACCTCCCCACTGAGCTGGTAACAGTTATTCCCCTATAATTAGAGCATTTGCGTTTATCCCCTTTCTTGAATAGTGAGCTGATGAATCCAATATTCCAATCGTCAGGGATATTTTGTCCTTTTAAGCATTTGTTAAATAGTTGAACCAACATCTCATGTAATATTTTTGGTCCATACTTTCCCAACCCAATTGGAATGTCTCCAGGTCCTGCTGCTTTACCATTTTTCGATCTTTTGAGGGCATCGTTTAACTCGCCGGTTGTTATTTCAATTATTTGTGTGTAGTCGGATATTTCTTCCATTTCGATCTCTTAGAATTTACATCTATCCTGTGTCAGTAAGACCTTATAATGGTGTTTCCACTGTTTCAGATCTATTAACTGTAAGTTAGATTTTTCCTTTCCTTCTCTCCGGAGAGACCTTATCACCTTCCAAGCTTGCCCAACTCTTGTTCCACCCATATACCTATCCACCTCTGCACATCTTCGATCCCACATCTCATTTTTACTTTTCACTACTTCTCTTTTTACATCTTGATTTAATTTTTGATATATCTTGTAATCTTCCTTATTTCTCGTTGACATCCATTTCTGATAAGCAGTTTTCTTCTTGTTGACTAACGTTTGCATATTCTCCGACCACCATTTTTGATTTTTTGTTTTATGTTTATCTTTGTAACCCAAAGCTTCACTTGCAACCTCATGAATGCATTTTTTAAGTTGCTGGTATAATTTTGTGGCCAGTCGTAATTTGTAAAGAAATTTCGTTGAATCTTCTTTTAAGCTTTCTAGGTTATATTTAGGAAATGTTACTTCTTGTCCTTTATTCTATATTCTGTACCTGAGTGTTATTGCTTTTTCGATAGTTAAATATCACGTTGGCTATAACTAAACGATGGTCGGATCCACATTCTGATCCACGGTATACCCTTACGTCAGTTGTTTTCAGCTGAAAAGTTTGACGTTGGATTACATAGTCGATTATCGAGCGCAGATTTCTAGTAGGCTGTATCCATGTAAATTTGTGGATGTCTCTATGTTGAAAAAGACCATTCATAATTTTGAGAGATATTGTTTCACAAAAATCTCTAAGACGCATTCCGTTGTCATTGGTTATTTGTTCTCCATATCTTCCTACGACTCTGTTATTTTCTTCTCTCCCTACTCTGCCGCTTAAATCTCCTAGTATAAAGATTTCACAGTTTTCTTTAATTTCAGAGAGTATTTCATTCATCTTGTTGTAGAAATCGTCTTTACTTTCTGGATCTGCATCTTCGTTTGAGGCATACACTCCAACAATTACGATGTTGAGCCCATTCTTTTTTATTTCCAGTATAAGCAGTTGTTCATTTACTTCTGTCCACGATTTAATATTGTTTTAAGATTTTTTCGAATGGCAATAGAGACTACTCTCTTAGCTCTGTTATCTTTACTTACTTCACTGTAGATATGTATATATTCTCCTATCTCTTCATTTCCTTTTCCCTTTTTCTTGGTCTCGGTGAGAATACATATATCTATTTTTCTTTCCACTAATTCTTTGAACACCTCTGCTTGTTTGGATCTAAGTCCTTGTACATTCCATGTAGCCAATATCATTTTCCTTTTCCGTTGCATTAGTCGCCTTTGTTTTGATCCATCCTTTGTATTCCGAGGCTTTTGGTCGAAATCTTTAGCATTTATTTGTTTTGACAAGGGATGAGTTGCTAGCCCATTGCCTCAACCCTCCTCTTTTATCCGGACTTGGGACCGACATCGACATTTACTGAGCTACTCAATCCACCCAGCACTTACCAGACGTGGAGTTTTTTTTGTAACTTAATTTATAATTTACTTTGTGTTTCTCGTTGGTCACACCCAGGTATACTTACAAAGTATACATGCAAAAATATGAACTGATTAAAGATGTGGATGAGGTACTGTTTTTTTTAACATAAGGTAAAGTAAGTAGAACAAGGAAACATCAAACAATAGAAGAAATATTACCAATAGAGCTGTCCAAAAAAAGTTTGTTCAAAAAAATATACAATTTTTTTTTCAAAATTTAAGCACTCAAAACAAATGTCACAATTTTATAAAAAATTATATTATTTATTTGCTTTATTTCGTATAATCTATCTTCTATTTGTTAAATCAAAACTTAAGCACTCAAAACGAATGTGACAACTTTATTTTCAATTGCATTATTTTGTAGAACATAACATATTTACCTAATATTTTGGTTTAGGTTAAAGGCAATATATCATTATTTGTGTTAATTTTTTAATTTAGTGAATTCAAGTTAAAACAGATTATCTCCATTACTAATTATTTTTTTACCTTAAAATAACCTACAACTCTGCTGTCATCTTCAGCATCTTCTCCAGTTTTCTTTCCTCGATATAGTTCAAACGTATGCAACCATTCTTTAAATTCGTTAAATTCTGGCCTACTTTCCAATTCAGTAGGAAAAATCTAAAACAAAATCTAATTAATTAACATTGCATTATTTTACAACATTGAATCTAATATTATTAACAGTACGTTCATAAAGTGTGAAGTCTCTTTATTGTAATACAAGTTCACTATTCACGGAAGTAAAGTAGGTAGGAGAATTATAAATTATCGACATTTTTTAAATTGAAACTGGTCGATTGAGAAAATTTTCATTTTCATTTCAGGCGCATTCTCATGAGTCAAGCTTGGTTGACCAATTTTAGTTAATCAACAAAACTTGAATATAACTTAAATTTATTTCTGCTCAGAATAATTAATTGAAACTGAATCAGCAGTTTAATGTAAAATGGCGTCTATTGCGATTGTGCGTGAATGTGTACAAAGTGTTGCTATTTTTACAAGAAGAACTGAGAAGAATTGTAAATAATATCAACAAAAGTTGTAAGAAACGTTGTTTTTGGATGAGGCTTTGGATTCTAAGAAAAAATAGACTGGAAGCATCAGTTACGTTTTTGAAGGAGCTAGCAATAGAGGATAAATAAAAGTATATAAATCTCTTAAAAATGCCCAACGAAAAATTTGCAATCTCGCCAAGACTAAAACTGCTAGTTTCTTTAAGCTATTTAGCTTCACAAGATTCATTTGCAACCATTGCTTTCATATACCGAGTACCTTAAAATACCATTTTAACTTTTATGGAAGAAATGTGTACAGCAATATACAATGTGTTAAAAGACTTTATTAAAGTACATATAAAAAAGCCGAAGACACCTTTGAGAGCTGCAGTAAGTATATCAAACGACTCCTGTGAATCGTTCCCCGAATCTGTACCATACTTATCTGTTGCATGATTCATTTGAAAATGAAGACAAGGATTGTTCTGGTTCCATGTTGTTTGATAGCGCTGGTGATGGAAATGAATGATAGTCAGTAGGTGAAAACGCTGGTGATGGAGTTGTGCGATAATAATATTGTTACGATAATTATGGCGTTTATAACTATCAATATATTATGACTAATTCTGTTTTCTGTTCCAGTAAATTCGAAGTTGTTTACAGAAACCTTTAGACCCTAATTTTATGAGTAATCCACGCGTCGAGGCTTTTCGAACAGTTGAAAAACGAGTCGAGCGCCTTCACCAAAATACGAGATTATTCAAGAAGTTCGCCGAATTTTCTAGATGACAACAGTTGTGTATATAAATGAAAGATTTTTTATTTGGCAGTCAGTCATAAGAAGATCAGGAAACGCGGTTTACTTGTAACGAAACGTGACATAAATACATTTGTACAGCTATTTAATAAATTAGTAATTAGTTATCGTGAGTTTTAATAAATTAGAATATAGACAATAAATTAGAATAAAGACAAATAAATTAGAACAATATAAATATACAACAGTGGTGCAGAAGTGGGATTGTAGATAAATTTAATTTGATTTTTGACTTTTGAACTTTTGAAAGGTATTGTTCGTCGGGAACATCCGCGTAGTTCAGTAGTGATCGTTGTACGAAAGAACATTTAAAAAGTACGTGTGTGCCTGACCAAAGATGCTGCTAGTAGAACTTTCAGTGAAACAGTTGCGTGAGCAACTAGAAGAACGCGATGAAGACTGCAGCGGGTCCAAGAAGATCCTCCAAGAACGACTGAAGACTGTTATCAACAAGAATGGAGACGACCCAGAGACATTCCAGTTCCAGTCAGCAGAAGAAGCCGTTTTAACGAAAATAATTGATGGAAAATTCGAGACTGTTTCCAAAAGATTCGATGAAACGTCACAAATGATTGAAGAGTATTCGAAAAAAAAAATGATGATAAATTCGAGAACGTTTCCAAAAGATTCGATGAAACTTCTCAAATTATTAAAGAAACAGCTAGACAAAATGACGAGAAATTTGAAAATGTTGCTAGAAGATTCGACGAGACTTCTCAAATAATTAAAGAAATATGTATTCAGAATAGTGAGAAGTTTGAAGAAGTCTCTAAAACATTTGATAAAGTTGAAGAGAAAATCAAACAGTTAGAGACCATGATAACTAACACGAGAGTGCTACCACCAATTAATACGGTAGCTTTAGATCCGGTAGAGATAAAAGAAGACGAGACGAAATGTAAGTTGGAAACACGGCCAAAATTTGAAGGAAGCGGAGGTTATGTTCATGTCAAAGTTCCAACTTTCGACGGAAAATCGTAATGGAACAACTACATGAAACAGTTCGAATCAGCTGCAAGAGCGAATGGATGGTCAGAAAAAGAAAAGGCTGTAAACCTGACTATAGCTCTTCGAGGAGATGCCTTAGATGTGCTCCAGACCATAGCCGTAGAGGAGACGGATGATTTCGAACAACTGAAAAAGAGGTTAAATATGCGATATGGCCACGAACACTTGGAGCATGTATATCAGTCGCAGCTCAAAAATCGAAGACAAAAGAGAGATAAGGCTCTTCAAGAATATGAAGTAGATATTGCCAGATTAGTGCGATACGCTTATCCAACAGCTCCCGAAGACATGATGGAAAAGTTGGCCGTTCAAACGTTTATTGATGGTCTTCGTGATCATGAAATGCAGAGAACACTACGATTAGCTCGTCACAAGACGCTGGTTGATGTCTTATCCGCCGCTCTGGAATACGAGTCTGCTACGCAGGCCTCTGGCGGGTACAGTAAAGTTAGGACTGTAAAAGAGGAAGGAGATGAAGATAAACTTGACCAGCTCGTTAATATGATAAAAAGCATGACATACAAGAAACCGAAGACCGAAAGATGCTGGAATTGTGGCGAAATGGGACACGTACGAAGTTCATGTAAGCCTCCTAAGTACGACGCAAATCAAGAAACTCACCATCAGGAAAACTAGAACGGGTCGGCCTTAGGGGGGCAGCTTCGACCCAGAACTTTTCCAAAGACCCTCTCATACTAATAGCTTCTTTGAAATGTCGTGAAGATAGTGTATATGTAGATGGAGAAATAAATGGTAAAAAGCATACGTTGTTGGTGGATACCGGAGCGACAAGATCCATTATTCGCCCGACAGTTATAAACAGCCGTAAGAAACTGTTACCAACGAGGTTGCGACTGCGGACCGCTACAGGTGAAAATGCCAACATTCATGGAGAAATCCAGGTACAATTAGGAATTGGAACAGAAAAGTTCGTCCATACTGTTATAGTTGCTGACATCGAAGAGGATGTTATATTAGGAATGGACGTAATGAATACGCATGGGTTCCAATTGGATTTTAAGAATAAGGTAATCAAAGTTGGTAACGAGGAGGTATTTCTCCATCCACATGATGACAACACTATGCAAGCAGCCGTTAAAGAAGATACAGTCGTGCCTGCGAGAAGTGAAACGATAATAGTAGCGCGGCTACAGGGAATTGTGGACGAAGGAACACCTGTTATGATGGAGCCTTGGAATCATGACAACGAAGTTGGCCGTGGAATCATAATTGGAAAAGAATTAGTGACTTCGGCTAAAGAAATTCCTGTGAGACTTATTAATGTCAATGACTACCCAGTGACCATCAAGAAAGAGACAAAAGTAGGAACTTGTGTACCTGTCACATCCATAATCCGTCAGACGACAACGTCTGATAATTCCAACGATAAATTTGATCAAATGGTTGCGGTTGCTGGACAGTCTCTGAATCAGATTGAGAAAAGGAAATTAAGGGAATTTCTTCGGCAGTATCGTGATATTTTCGTACCGAAAGGAGGAAAGACGGGAAGAACTACCGTTGTTAAGCATAAAATTGATACTGGTAATGCTAAGCCAATTCGTCAAACAGCTCGACGATTACCACAGGCGAAAAGAGAGGAAGCTGAAACGATTGTTCAGGAAATGAAGAAAGACGGGGTGATAGAACCTCCTACGAGCCCATGGGTCTCTCCGGTGGTCCTGGTTAAGAAGAAAGACGGAACAACGAGGTTCTGTGTGGATTACCGTTTGCTGAACAACGTTACCAAGAAAGATAGTTATCCTCTGCCTCGGATCGATGACACATTAGACACATTGGCTGGAAGTAAATTATTTTCTACTTTGGATTTGAAGTCTGGATACTGGCAGGTAGAAATGGACCCGGTAGATAAAGAAAAGACAGCCTTCACCACAGGATCTGGATTATGGCCATTCAACGTTATGCCATTTGGACTTTGTAACGCTCCTGCGATATTTGAGAGGCTTATGGAAAATGTGTTTAGAGGGCTATCTTGGAAAACATGCCTAGTTTATCTAGACGACATAATCGTCTTGGGGGAGACATTTGAAGACCATCTGAAGAATTTAGAAAACGTTTTTAATCGACTTAAAGCTGCCCAATTGATGTTAAACCCCAAGAAGTGCCAGCTATTTCAAGGTAAAGTCAATTATCTGGGTCATATAGTCAGTAAAGAAGGAGTGGCCGTGGATAAGGGAAAAATCGATTCTATTAAGGAATGGCCAAAACCAACTGACAAACACCAAGTGAGAAGTTTTCTGGGACTATGTACTTACTACCGGAGGTTTATTAAGAAGTTTGCAGATATCGCTAAACCATTAACGCGACTTACAGAGGAAGCAAGAGAATACCGCTGGGATGTAGACTCCCAGAATGCCTTTGAGACCTTAAAAAAGCATTTAATCACAGCACCAATTTTAGGGTATCCACTGCCAGAAGGAGAGTTCATCTTAGATACAGATGCAAGTAATGTGGGAATTGGAGGAGTGCTGTCTCAGATTCAAGGAGGACAGGAAAGAGTCCTTGGATATTTTAGTAAAGTTCTCTCAAAACCTGAGCGAAATTATTGCGTCACGAGAAGAGAACTTTTGGCAGTAGTGAAATCAGTAGAGCACTTCTATCAATACCTCTATGGAAGGAAGTTTTTAATCCGAACCGACCATGCCGCCCTTAAGTGGTTGATGCAGTTTAAGAATCCAGAGGGTCAGATAGCCAGGTGGATCGAACGACTCCAAGAATATGATTTTAAGATTGAGCACCGGGCCGGAGTTAGCCACCGAAACGCTGATTCTCTTTCCAGAAGGCCATGCCCAGCAGACTGTTCTCACTGCAACAAAACGGAATCCAAGGAAGCGGCAGTGCTAAGAACGACGGTGGTCCACGACGACTGGACGCCTACCAAGATCAGGGAAGAACAAGAGAGAGATCCAGTTATACAGAAAATCCGAAAATGGAAAGAGGAAAACCGCCGACCACCTTGGCAAGAAATATCGAACCTAGGCTCAATAGTTAAGACGTATTGGGCCCAGTGGGACTCATTTATCATGGAAGATGGCTTGCTCAAACGAGTCCTGGAAAATGATGACGGTTCAGAGAAGAGAAGACAGCTGGTGATTCCAAAGAGCAGAATAGCCGAAGTACTTCGTCAGTTACACGACAGTCTATCAGGAGGGCATTTTGGTGTGAAAAAGACCCTTCAGCGAATTCGGGAACGGTTTTATTGGATGAACAGTTCCGACGATGTAAAAGACTGGTGTAAGAAATGTACTATTTGTGCTACGAGTAACGGGCCTTATCGAAAAAGGAGAGCTCCTATGAGACAATATAATGTTGGAAGCCCGTTTGAAAGAATAGCTTTGGACATTGCTGGGCCATTTCCAGAAAGTGATAATGGAGGCAAGTACATGTTGGTAGTAATGGATTACTTCACTAAGTGGGTCGAGATTTACGCACTTCCAGACCAGAAGGCCGCCACCGTTGAAGATAAGTTGATTCAAGAATATATCAGCCGATTTGGAGTGCCTTTGGAGATCCATAGTGACCAAGCCAGGAACTTCGAAAGCGATTTATTCCAAGGAATATGTGATAGACTAGGTATGAAGAAAACAAGAACTACGGCTTATCATCCGCAATCGGATGGTATGGTAGAACGAATGAATAGAACAGTTGGCAAGTATTTGACAAAGATGGTGTCCGATCATCAGCGAGACTGGGACCAATATCTTCCGTTCTTCACAATGGCCTACAGATCTGCTGTTAATGAGTCAACAGGCCAGACACCAGCCAGAGTCCTATTCGGACGCGAGATGCGACTACCTTGTGATCTAGAGTTTGGGTGTCGACCTGGAGAAGATGTAGCAGGTGAAGATTATGTGATCGAATTACGAAGAAGAATGGACGATGTACACGAGTTGGTCCGTTTCCATCTCCAGATCGCTAGTGACCGAATGAAGAAACGGTACGATACGCAAGCCGAAAAGGGGTGTTTTAAGAAGAACGACAAAGTCTGGCTTTATAACCCCAAAAAGCGAAAAGGTTGTTCTCCCAAGTTGCAACAGTTTTGGGAAGGTCCATATCTCATTATGGAGAAGATCAATGATGTTATTTACCGAATAAGCAAGATTCCGAGAGGAAAGCCGATGATAGTACACCATAACCGGCTGGCGTCTTTCGAGGGTGACCACGACGTAGATGAAGAAGTAGAAGTAAACCAAGTCCAAGATGTGTCTGACCTCACGTTTGAGGAATTCATGGGTGCTTATGGAGGTACCGGTAAAGCAAGACATGGTGTTACCACTGAAGAAAGGCAGGATCTACTCGCGCTTCCCGATTACTACTCACTGGCCCTTACCATCCCGGCCAGTATCAAAGACGCACCAGGGTTGGCATCCGTCTTTCGAAGGAAATTTGGTCGAGTTGCAGAACTTCAATGCCAAGTGCCAGCTCCCGGTAAAACCTTGAAGCTCCAAGATGCATCACGTTACCTTTTCTACCTGGTAACAAAAGACACTGACCGTGACCAACCTACCTACCGAGATGTATGGGAAGCCTTACTTCAGTTGAGAGAGCACGTACTAGAGTCCGACGTGCAAAAGTTAGCCATGCCAAAGTTAGAGTGCCACCAATTAGATTGGAGGGTTATTCGAAGTATGGTGGAGGAGATCTTTAGAGACACCGAAGTCCAGGTGTTAGTCTGTTGCAATCCGCATAGTTACTGGTGCGGAGAGAAAACCGTCCCTTGTCATTTTTATAAAACTGGAAGTTGTAAAAGAGGGTCCAGTTGCCGATACCAGCATACCGTTTCAGTTCCAGTCCCGACAAGGTTCCAGGAGGAACCATCTTTTAAGAGGGGGGCAATGTTACGATAATTATGGCGTTTATAACTATCAATATATTATGACTAATTCTGTTTTCTGTTCCAGTAAATTCGAAGTTGTTTACAGAAACCTTTAGACCCTAATTTTATGAGTAATCCACGTCTCGAGGCTTTTCGAACAGTTGAAAAACGAGTCGAGCGCCTTCACCAAAATACGAGATTATTCAAGAAGTTCGCCGAATTTTCTAGATGACAACAGTTGTGTATATAAATGAAAGATTTTTTATTTGGCAGTCAGTCATAAGAAGATCGGGAAACGCGGTTTACTTGTAACGAAACGTGACATAAATACATTTGTACAGCTAATAAATTAGTAATTAGTTATCGTGAGTTTTAATAAATTAGAATATAGACAATAAATTAGAATAAAGACAAATAAATTAGAACAATATAAATATACAACAATATACAGAAGATGGAGGCACATGTGATGGAATTGTACGATACTCGGGCTGTCTTAATGATAAGAGCTGCAATCTATTTTGTCGTACGCTACTTTGTATTGGTTCCTAGCACCTATATTTGAAATATTTTAATTTTCTGCTATTTTTCGTTTGCGATTCTGAGGAGCACGAAAGACATTTGCTGCCTTTGATTGCTTTGTAGTTGACGGATTGGCAGTTTTTGTGCTTTCTACTTGTATCGCTTCTTTCTAGGCTTTATCATTGCCAGTAGTAATCGATGCAGACATTGATGCAGAAAACACATTTTCTGTTTCGGTTTCTCCTGCATTTTCGATGGTTTTACTTTCAGCTTCATTATTTTATGAATTCTAAAATAGAAAAATAACTTTATTAAATTATTTTATTTAGTTTAAAGTGAATTACCTTTGTAGCAAAATGTAAAAAATATTTTTTGACAGGTGCCACGAAACGAAGAAGAATGGGAGACAACGCAAGTGGTGCATTAGATGGAAAACATATAGTATTACGAAATGCCCCTCACAGTGGATAAAAGTGCTTTAATTACAAAGGCACATACAGCGTTATGTGGTTAGCGTGCGTTGACGCAAACCATTGCTTTGGCTGCTTTGATGTAGACACAAATGGACGAGCAAACAATGCTGCTGTTTTTGCTAAATTTTGAATACAGCATTAGAAGATGTTAGAAATATGATACATTATTGAAAAAGGGAGTATTTTGTAGATGACGACGCTTTTCCCTTAAGATCCTAAATTTTAACATATTTTTCTTTTTCTTCTTCTTCTTCTTCTTTTTATGTAGACATTACTCTGTCTGTTTTTCAATGTACCTTCAGTAAGTTGTCGTGCCATCGTTTTCGTGGTCTTCCTACTGATCGTCTTCGTATTGGGGAATCGTCTCTTGCTATCTTTACTACTCTATTTGTTGTCATTCGGCTTATATGATTGTTCTATTCTACTCTTCTATTTTTTAACCGACACGATGATGTGCTCTGGCAACTGAATATGATACACGACGATGTAAATAATACTTAAAAATGAATGAAAAAATATTTCAACAATAAATAAAAGTATACTTACTAAATTTAATGGGGTATACTGGGAGTATACTATTTTAAGGTTACTTGTACTTTTAAAGCCATTTAAAAACATATCCGCCCTTTTATACCAAAACAACTTTAGCACTTAAATTTAATCTCTTTCCATTCCAATATGGATTGATTTGTAAACCAATGAATGTTTTTTTATACATCGTTCTAATAATCTTAATTTTGTTTTGTATGTCAGCAATTGAAATAGCAGGAATATCCATTTTCTTGACAATACAACTAAAAAAATCTTCTCGTGCATCTCTATTTCTATGGTTATCTTTTTGGTGCTTCCACAGACAATTATAATTCTGATATAGCTTCAAAAATTACATAATTATACTTTCAGACCACGTAAGGGTGACTGTTTTGAACTATTTTTTATAGTTAATAACTTTTTATAACACCTAAGTAACTAACGCTCGTGCACTCCGGCCACTTTCAAAAAATGTACTAAACAGAGTCAACAAAAGTTAACTGCTTAGTTCACACGTTTCAAAACAAGCTTCAACTTGTAAACAATTTGGGATGTTTCACCTCTTAAACAAGAATGGTTTGATCGGGTCAAACGTTTCTTGATCAACTAAAAAGTTGATCAACTCTATTGAATGACACTCTTGATAGATTCTTGCTACACTTTTTATTCGATTTTTATTGATTAACTAAAATTGGTCAACTAAACTTGACTCGTGAGAACTTGCTTAAGAAAAGCTCTAATCACGAGAGCATGGTGTCGATTTGCAAGATTATGAATGCTTGGAAATGTTACCATTCAATATGGAGATAAAAAGTTTACACCGGTTCTAAATAAAGTAATCGTTGGTACAATAATATTAGTATAGATGAGAATAACATGTGCTTTTTATTAATAATATAAACATATGTTCATATTATTAATATAATAAGTTTATGTATATATTATGTATATAAGATGCAAAACCGAAACAACAGACGCTGTCGAACATGCATTGAAATTAAAATGGAAATGGGCTGGGCATAATGAAAGATATCAGGATGGAAGATGGAATAAAGAAATTGACCGCTGAAGACCATATACTGCAAAAAGGTCAAGAGGTCGACCGCAAATGAGATGGAAAGATGACATTGAGCAAAGCGCAGGTCCAATGTGGAAAAGACAAACAGAAGACAGAGACAAATGGAGAAAAATGGGAGAGGCCTATATTCAACACATGAATAGACTTTGGGCTATACATAGATAGAGTTAGATAAACATAATATACTCATTAAAAGTAAAAAATATAATAGTAAGGTAGAATTTTTTGCAAACGATGCAGTAAAATGAAATACAACATCGAATGGTTTAATTTTTATTTCTGAAAATCATCTCGAAAACAAATTTGTAATATAATAGAGTGTTTCTACACTTTATGAACACGGTGTATATCAACCTTTTCAAATAATTTAAACTAATGTCAGCAAATATGGAGAGAGCTATCATAATATTATAAATTTTGTCTAAAATATTTTACCTTACAAAGTGCCGGTTTATATTTACTTCTTTTTCTAGTAGTTTTTGGACTTATTCTAGCCGCAATTCTGGATGCTGTAGATACAGTTTTAAATCCTAATCGTTTTTTATGTTCTTGTCCTGGACTTTTGTCTGAACTATTTCCGGAATGTGGGCTTTTGTCTTCTTCGTGTACTTGCAGGCTTCCGTTTTGGTTAAGGTATTTCTTTGCTTCTTTAGATTCGTCGATCATCCGTTCTACAGAAGCGAAATATTTCGTCCACCTGTATTTACACAAAGAAAATATATATACACAAAGAGAATTAAAATTAAAATATCCATTACATAAAACAAATACTTCGTGCACTCAGGCAAGAAGGGTTCCTGCTAAAACTATCAAAACGTAAATTCGCTTAGTTTTCTGTGACATATTTAAAACACGTTCTAGCTTACAATTCTGTTAGACCATCATGATAACTTAAAATATACTTAACATTATTCCAGACCTTAAATCAGAAAAACATTCGTCTGTTTGCAGGAAAAATAATTTTTTATCAAAAATACATTTCAGTTCATACGAAGACTCTTGAGCGCATCCATAATCTTTTGCATAATAAAACAGAATTTAAATGGACAAATGAGCGAGGCAACCTTCATTCAAATTATAAAATATATATCTACCAGAGTCCAATTTTGTCAATTTTTGAACCAGAGAAAAAACGTTTTTATTTACATATACCACTGCTTTAGGATTTGGAGCAGTTTTAAAACAGATACAAAACAATGGTGAGTTGCACCCGGTGGCCTATTTTAAAAAAATAATAGATGCAATAAGAGATGCACTACGTTATTTGCAGCATTAGCTAACAGGACCAAAAATTCAAGTAATCACTGATCATAAGCGATTAGAAAATCTTAAAATAAAAGCACGAACCGATGAAGAACTTGGAGACCTAGTGTACTATCTCTCTCAATATGACTGTGCCATTACATATTCCCCAGGAAAAATGAACCAACAAGCTAATGACTTTCAAGAAATCCTGTTTTGGAATCTTTTGAGAAATATCGAGGATATACTACAAATGGTACATTTGATAAATATTCAAGATCTAAAAGAGGATCAAAAAAATAATCACACTGAGCTATCTACATTTAAACGTAAATTTAAAAAGAGTGAACTTCTTTATAAAAAACTAAGAAACAAAGAACGTATTTTCATATCTAAGAATTTTGGTTTATAGTTGGTTAAAAAATCATTCTCATTATGACCATATTGAAATTGGTCATATGATTTTTTGGACCTGTTTATTATTTTAAACATACACTGTGTTTCAGCCAAATGGAATAAATTAGCTAATAAATAAATAAGGGAGTATTCAAAAAAAAACGGTCGAACCCGTCGATTAGAATTTTTTTTCTATAAAAACTTTTTATATGGGGTGTATCAGATAACGGTGACCAATACTAACTTGCTTATTTCAAATAAAATACCCTGTATATTAATTAATTTTTAGATTCCTGAGATGATTTTAGACATTTTTTGAATACAATGTTCTATACATATCTTTGTGTTTCGGAAATATTAAGTAAAAAATTCACATTTAGAAAAAAAAATTATTTATTTGTCGAAAGTAGCTACCAATGTCTTAATACTTCTTGCCCATTTAGATCTTGGTAATGATAAAATAAGCAAAAACTATTTAAACATTATTTTTAATGATATGCTAAAAAGACCAAAAATTGTTTATTTTTATTTGTTTAATTGTTTTACAAGGTAAAAAAAGAAGCTGCCAATGCAATAAGTGAGGATACCAAATTTGCTGTTATGCTTACAAACCACTTACATCTGTTTAAAAAGCTACCCCAGTACTCGATATTAGCTATTAATCGGTTATTCGAATATTACAAGAGAACAAAATGCATCCCTATAAAATTATATACACTCAGGAACTCATGGAATTTTGACAGGAGAACATATTTTTATGAACAAATAATGGCAATGCTAGACAGCAATGTGATCCAATTAGAACATGTTTTGTTTTTTGATGAGTGTATATTTACTCTTCACGGTCATGCTAATTGGCAAAATTGCCGCTAACAGTCCAGGAAAAATCCTCACTGGATGAGAAAAGGCAATACTTAATACCCTGAGAAGGTTAACGTGTGGGCAGAAATTATTGAAGATCAGATTATAGGTCCCTTTTTCATAGATGGTAATTTGAATGGCGACAATTATTAAACATTGCTCCAAAATAATGTAGGGCCAACGTTGGACAACTTCTATCCTAATTCAGGAAACTCACAAATTCCAGCGAATATGGTATAGTTTCAACAAGATAAAGCACCACCCCACTACTAAATCCATGTCCGGCAGTACCTCAATCAAATATCTCCAAATGGGTGGATAAGGAGGCGAGGATCGATGGAATGGCCAGCCACCACGATCCCCCGATTTGACGTCATTAGACTTTTTCTAATGGAGATCTGTAAAAAATTTTGTATACACAACTAAATCCACTGACATAGCTGACTTATGAATACCAATAACGCTTGCGATTAGATCGATCACATATGAGAAGTTGAGTAACGTTAGAAGAAATTTCTATTCACGGTTAGGGTGTTGCCAAGACGTTCGTGGGGAGAATTTTAAACATCACTTACATTGACATTATTGTTTGGATTTGTATTATTTTATAATATATATATACATATACATATATATATATATATATATATATATATATATATATATATATATATATATATATATATATATATATATATGTTTATATATAAGTTTTTGAATATTTTGTAGCGACATTCGGCAAATAGAGAATTTTCTTTCCTAAATGTGAATTTTTGCATTTTACTTAATATTTCCAAAACAGTCAAAGATAGGTATATGATATTGTATAAAAAATGTCTCAAATGATCTGAGAAATCTAAAAATTAATTAATATACAGGATGTTATATTTAAAATAAGCAAATTGGTATTGGCCACTGTTATTTGATACACCCCATATAAAAACTTTTTATGAAAAACATGCGCGACTATAAATAGAATTCGACGTATTTGACCGTGTTTTTGAATACTCCCTCATTTATTTAATAGCTAATTTATTCCATTTGGGTGACACACAGTATATGGATGTAGTTATAGCAGAACTTTGTAACCAATGTGATATTTACAAAAAAAAAAACAAATCAAAAAGAAGCCGAGAAATTGATCTTTTATAACATTTAGGGCCAGTTAAAGAACCATATAAAGTCAGTCGCTTGACACCATTGGTGGGTTTGCAGGAAGCAAGTCACCCCAATGTTATCTTCATCTTGTAGCAGATAACTTTACTAGGTTTGCATATACATGTCATTCTTAAACGTTCATTTTTCTTGATATTAATAAAGCAATAGAATAATTAATTTATAAATATAAGCTCACCAGTCTTTATTTTCGTCTTCATCGTCAATTTCTTCATCAAAACTTTGTTTTCGTCTTTTGTTTGTTTCAGCCTTTATTTTTTTGGATCCGTCATGTGTACCATAACCTATGAAAAATAGACTACATTACATGGTCATAATATCCTACTTACTTGGT